CTCCGGTAATTTAGTTCTTGTTGACTGTGCATATTGCTTTTCGTTCAGTAACTGGAGTTTCTGATGTCAGGAAGCAAATTCCTTTGTAATCGGGAATTCAAAATCGCGTCAGCAATCCGATTCCTGCATTTGATAAGATGTGGTGCATATCAACCATTTTTTGAGCACTTTCTTTTGAAAAAGAAGTTTTTGAATATTCGAAACTTTATGGCTGTTCATTCCAATGACAGAATAATTCATCATTGATCTTACAACTTGCTGGAGTCATCCATCCTGTTCAAAAGGTGGAGATAGGGAAGAAATACAGGATTTGCCAAGTATGGAGTGTTTCACTTTCCTCCGCCATCAGACCTATATAATAGAGGAATTAATTTAAGCATGATATGAACCGAAATTATTTCAAGTTTTCTAAGAGACTTCTGAAAATTTAAGTGAAGGGGTTGGAGAAATCTTGGATTTAATTTCATCTAAGGGCAAAATTTTGAAAGGACGAACAAAACATAGCCACCCAAAGTTCCGGCGCAGAGAAATACCCATGGTGGAAACTGCTATTAAAATGTGTGAAAATTATTCAAAAATCGAGCACTCCACGAGGGTTCTAACAAATGTTCTCGGAATGGAAATGAAAATGGCATCTAATTGAGCTGGTAAAAATTATTCGTATAAAAATTATTCTTTTAAAATTATTCGGGAAAAAATTCTTTGGCACACAAAAAATCAGCCCAGCTATTTGACAATTTTTTTTAGGCTTTACAAAATTCACCGCGGCGGAGTTTTGCTATCCACTCAATAAATGAGGCGCCCTTCCAGCAGTTTTTTTTTGTAGCCCAGCTTTTCCCTCAGAATTCTTGAAATGAACGTGGCACTTATTCAAAGGGTTGCCTCCAGGTCTTCCAAGTTAATTCCGCCATTTTCATCAACAGCTGCCTTCACATCCCCCACATTGGCGGATGTTCATTTCAAGAATTCTGAGGGAAAAGCTGGGCTACAAAAAGAAAAAACTGCCAGAAGGGCGCCTCATTTATTGAGTGGATAGCAAAACTCTGCCGCGGTGAATTTTATAAAACATAAAAAATTGCAAACAGGGCTGATTTTTTTTGCGTGCCAAAGAATATGTTTTCCCTAAAGAATAATTTTTTTCAGCTCAATGAAAATGTGTACCCTTGTGCACAAACATTGAAATATCTGAACAATTCATATTGAGAATGTTCCAGACATTTTCATCTTCTGTTTTTGTGTACAAGTATCCACAAATGGTAAAACAAAATTAGACTCAAAGCGACAAAGAAAATCCTGATTGTCGCCAGGTTACGACTATAAGATTGTAGGTCTTGACACTATTCATCAATTCCAAAGAAAATAACTTCTGTGTGGGATACAAGAATTTTTTCTTCTCCAAGCAATCCACAACCAGTAGTATGATGGTACTGGGTCATCCGCCAGCCATTCAAATCATGGTCATGCACCCGCCAGTCATCAAGCGCCAGTTGGTCTAACTGCCAGCCAGGGCAGTCCTTGGCCTTGCCAATCCCCAGTCCACCAAACTGCAGTCCAGTCACCCAATTGTTGCGGCACTCAAACAATTGGGTGTGATTCTTTATGGAATTTGGTGAGCAGAATGGTATCCTATCACAGATTATATATTTTTTTTTACAAAATTTCATCTTATAACAATTTTCACAACAACAAAAAACTCATCAAATCCAACCTAACTTAACCTAACATATCCTCACCTAACATAACCTAACCTAAACTAACATAACATAAACTGACCTAACCTAACCTAACCTAACATTGCTGAAATGTTGAAAAAAATCTGTGGTAGGATACCATTCTGCTCACTGAATTCTGAAAAAAACAGCATGACAAAAGAAAAAACTCATCAAACCCAACCTAACTTAACCTAACATATCATAACCTAACCTAACCTAACCTAACCTAAACTAACCTAACCTAACCTAACCCAAACTAACATAGACCTAACCTAACCTAACCTAACATTGCTGAAATTGTGAAAAAAATCTGTGGTAGGATACCATTCTGCTCACTGAATTCTGAAAAAAATCAGCATGATTCTTGTCACCCAATTGTTTGGGTGCCCCAACAATTGGGTGACCAAACTGCAGTTTGGTGGGCTGGGGATTTGCAAGGCGAAGAACTGCCCTGGCTGGTGGTTGGACCGACTGGCGCTTGACGACCGGCAGGTGCGCGACTGTGAATTGACCAACCGACGGCTGACCGGACACAGATAAGGTAATACAAATTTTTAGGCAGTGGAATAGTGATTTCGATACAGCATTATTTTTTTTAAGGATTGCAATCGCTGTAAAACTGATGAATCACAATCACAAATAACTGCGACAGTGTATATGTTTTTCCTGAACAAAGTGATTCAAATCATGCTCAAAATTCAAATAAAAATAATTGAATTTGTTCATCTGTCCAAGTTCTTAGATTGAAGAGGGTGATATATTGATTTTTTATTGCTTGAACCGCAGACTGGTTGCCTCATCCAAAAGTAGCTTATCATAGTACAGTATCTCAAATGATGATATTACTTGAATGAAATAATTTGGGAATTTATTTGTTGAATAATCTCACATTAGGAAGGCCATTTAGCTTTATATGTAATTCATGTTATTTTATTCCTTTACTCAGGCATATATTTTCTGTTTTTTTTTTCTGGGGAGAATTCAAAGGGATCGATGGTAAGATTCCTTCAACAAATTCAAGTAGCTATTTACTCCAATTTGTAACGCTCAAATAAAGTGCTAGCTAGATCGAGTTTCCATTCGAAAATGCGTTCATGGCAATTAACTAGAAAGCGATTTCTCTACCAAGCCAATTTCGCATATCCTGGACGCCTCCAATCGTAAAATTGTCCAAAATTCTCTAAAGAAAGGAATATAGTCTCAATTCGAGGCTTTCATTTCTTTTAATACCCAAAAATGAAATTATGTGGGAAACTTCTTTTCAGCTACGTTGTTTCGAGCCTCTGCTGTTGTTTCCAGTACTCAAAGAAGAATCAAAGGCCGTTTGGAAATCGCTGTTTGGTCTGAATCCACTGGCAGCCTGAGTAAAGTTGCCTACTTCAACCAGCAGTGAGTCCCTGATCGGTTTTGACTAAAGAAAATACAAATCTTTTAACCGCAGTTTTTTTTTCTTCAATAATACGGTATATAGCGAAAGCGACATCCTCGAACCATCATCAACGAGATATGCCATAGTCGCAGCCGATTCGGAATCAATTGCAGCTGTGCAAATTCGATTTTTGCATCAAACCGAGCTGAGCTTTTATCAAATATTACAACACAACGCTAATCCGTCGCTTTACAACAGACGACTCAAGTTGGACTCGCTTGTGTTGACAACTCGCGACGAATCAAAAAAGTATGGCGTAGATTAAGTCTGAGCCCTGAGGGATGTCTAACTTTTGCGTACAGCAGGTCTGTGAAATATTTTCGACATTTATTTCAAAACTTTGGCGTAGATTTTATTTTTTGCCACGCATCTTGTTGAAATTATCTCGACCATTTTTGAAAAATTCTTTAGCTCTTTTGATTATGAATTGAAGCATTACAAATTCCGATCTTGGTTTTTTCGTTTTTTTTCTCATCCAGGTTTCAGAAAATTTGGAACGTTATAGTCCTCTTTATCGCCCTCGTGTGGCTGAAAAAAAATCTGTGGCACATTTTAAACTAAAGTATGCTGTACGCGTAACTTAGACACGCCCTTAGATTTTCGAAATAAATTTCAGACATATTTCAAAATCGAGTTTTTGTATTTTCCAGATATTACGTCTGTCTTCCGACCGAAGCAGAAATAAGCCATGTTGGAAACGTGTTTGCAACTTCACTTGACCCCTGTTCACGGGCTTGACATCCTCTCGACTGACCTTTTCTTGAACTGAAGCTAGGTTCATCAACCTTTCCCAGCAACTCATTGGCACAGATTCTAGCTGTGTAGTTCTGTTTGCATACTGGGTGGAGGCTCCTTTGTTTGCCTTGAAACCCAGGTCATTACAAAGAATCCATAATTAGCCCTGGGATGCAAATGCAAGACTTGAGCCAGTCATGCGATTAAACAAAGTGATGTCTGATTCAACAAACCAGCTTGCTGTCTCCTGATTCCTCAAATTTATATAACGTCGAGTGACTCGTCCGAAGAATTCTGAGAAATGAAATAAAACGACTGTATTTCTGTTCTGTGTAAACGTTGCTTTTGGATTTTCACGAACACATGAATCTTGGATAATTATGGGCAAGAGAGATTCAGCTGGTAATCAGCGAGGCAGCAATTCACGACATTCCTGATGTTAGTGCATTGATGAGCATTAACTTCACATCCAGCATTCGAAGAACAGTAAGCATTTTCAATCAAAGCGCTGCGTGTGTACTTTTTGTACGAGTGGTTCTGCGAACAGCTGAGCACCGATGCAATTGTTCATAAAATAATTGTAACACCACACCACCACACAGGAAACACATTTAAAGCTGTGGAAAAAGTCACATTCAAGAAAATGTACAGGAGGGAGGGAGGGAGGCATCCACATTGATCACCCAATGCCACACAACTGTGGAACATTAAGCAAATTTTGGAATATTAAGCAAGGGGATTTTTCTCACAGGACCAGGAACGTTAAGCAAAAAAAAAAGGTTCAGCAAACAGAATGTTAACCGAGGGTTAACTGTACAGTGCTCTCACAAAAAGCGCGTTTTATTGACTCTCCAACTCACTCCGCAAATCAGCGCAGATCATACCATATGTATTCAGCTTCTGCAGAGGACCGGACCATGCAACACAAGTAAAAGACAAAATTCGTTTTGAGCTAAATGTATGAGCAGTACTTTATTACGATTTTCGCAAGAGAAAAAAAAGAGCCGATCGTTGAATTGCACTTTCTGCGCGGCAGTACAACATTTGTGCACATCGAACCATCAATTTCTCCATAGTTATGTGCTTTACCAAATTGTATACACATACACACATACAAATAGAGGTGCCAAATCAGTTCAAGTCTTCGACTATTCAAGTTGCATCATGATTCATGAGCGTGCGGTTTCTTGGTGTTTTCAGTCATTAATTCGTGTTATCCGTTGCTAATTCCAAGCCTGTGGCTTTGCTGAATGAACAATCGTTGACTTCTATTCAATTGAAATTTGATTGTTTCACACACGCATTTTCAGCATTCCTGTGCATCGTTGAATCACTACTGAGCCACCAACTGCTGAAAATGCGGTTTTTTGAATGGAAAAGAACTAGCTGAAATCGCTCTTCTACTCCTGAAAGAAGGGTTGACAAAAATCATCTTCCGTCCAATCTTCTGCTGCAATAATAACCGTTCAATAATAACCGTTGTTACTTTCCGCTTCAAGGATATCCGGGGCAGTGAGTTGATGGACATGTGTCGAATCGAACGTTCGGGTTCTGCGTGTAACACCACAAACCAACAAGGGTATAATACGGATTCCTGCAGTAATTGTGTGCAGTGCCAATCTCATCCGGCATAATGAATTCAATCGCAGGATAAACTGGGTGAGGACTGCTGGAATTCCAGTATTGACACGGGTCTCCTGCAATTGTTTCACGACTAGTGGGTCCGAAGACTTCAGATTCTCGCAAGGTCGTTGAGCAAGCAAAAGCTGCAAATTCCACGAAAATAGAGAAATCACTTCTACCGGCATTAAAAAATAACATAACGGTTAAAGTTCGAAAACATTCTGGAATATTCAGTTAGCCCGGAATCTATAGTGATGGCTCACTTATTATGAGTATTCTTCAGAACTCGTCACTTTCTCAAATTTTGCACAGGAACCCCGAAATCGTGCAAACATTTTAGCAACGAATTTAACCCAAACTCGAGATCCGAATGATACGCTCATTCAGAAGAAATAGTGGGTCATCCATTTCCCAAGGGTTTATATTATCAATACGAAATAATTAGTCTTGTCCATGTATGGAAAGGAATTGAACTCACGTCTTTTGTCTTCGCATTCCGGGATGTCACAAAATTCCCATTTCGCAGTTATGTTATCGATGATGCAAAATGGGGCGGCTTTTCTTAATGGATTCCTGCAATAGTTCTTCGCATTTTCAACGGATCCATCCACTGGATACTGTTAAAATCATTGATCAGGTCACTAATACGCGATAATTGTCCAGAAATTTTATGCTCACGCGATCATCAGATTTCAGCTTCGGGGTGGAATCGATTGTTTGATTTTTCCATGATAAACACGGTTTTCCGGATGCGGTGACATTGTATTTTACTCCATAAAAATCCGTCCCGTTCTTTGTTTTTTTGCATTCTCTGAACTCTAATTGCAGAAAGAAAAACTAACCCTTGCGTATCAGGGTTGAAATCGATTCGTTCAAAATCTCACCGACGCAACGAGGCAACGTTGTCATGTTCGGAGACCAAATATCGTATCCTTGGCAGGTCAGCGAAATATTTTGAAATCTCTCCAAATCCGTGGGTTCTGCAGTTTGACTGAATCCGTATTTGTATAAATCGTTGCTGTGAAGGGAACTCCACTTAACGCAAGAATATGTCGCATTTTGTCCTTTTTTGAAGGGCTTCGTCGCATTGTTGTGGATTGAAAGAATTGCGTTTGCTCCGACGATCGGCAGATGAGCGCATTCTGGAAAAAATAAAAGGCTAATCAAAATGATTCAGAAATGCATTCGCCTTTATTCTACAGGGACTGTTTTCGGAAATTATGAACAAAGAATTTTTCTTAATAAATAGTTTCGAGCTTCGAACTCGGCGCACAAAAAATTGTTTTCGTATCAAATATTATTGTCTAATTCATACGCACCAATGTCCATCGTTTTGTTTACACTTTTGAATAGTTCGTCCTGCACTATCAACATAGGCAAAAATAAAAAGCCTGATTTTTTCTGGTCAGAAATTGAATCCTGGATGCTTGAAATTACGGGGACCTCTGTGGAATAGTTTTCTAAAAAAAACGCTTTATAATGATGTGAGTAGCAGACCAAAAAACAAAAATTTTCAACGAATAAAATACAAAAATATATTTTAGAAAAAAGCAGTCGCATTCTGACAGATGAGAGTCTTGAGAGCGAGAATGACTTTTTCATCTACCAAAACGAGATCCTGTCTGTTGCAGAACGATCAAAATTTCCTTGGAGGAATGTTCCAGCATTTGCTCTGTTTGGTCAATATTTCCATACACTATTGCAGGTTCAGGTTTGAAATCAAAGTTCAGTAGCTATATCATCAAATTAAGGTCATAACGAATAATTTCGGAAAATATGAGTAGTTTTTACCGTCGGGCTGAAGCATATTGATGTAATGAGGGAGATAACAATAAGCTGAAGCATTTTTGGTTTCATCCGGAATCAGTGGGCTGGTCGAGTTCCAGAAATAGCACATGGATTCCGCTTTGTTGAAATAGAAGCCAACGCAATTTTTCACAGGATTATTACATTGAGCAGCGCATTGAATATTAGAAAACCCTTTGTTTTTGGATGTAATCTCGAAACAATGCTCTGTTGCCTTGAACATAGTTGCAGATACGTAGCTTGAAAGAAACGCTACAATTTTGAAAACTTCTAGTAGTTTTCGAACCATTTTCACGACCAACATTGTCGGTCAACTGCAGAAAAAGTTGCGATGCACCTGGATTTAAAAGGCCGTCGCAATCGATAATAAATCATGCAAAAATCACAAAAGCTTCTGCAAAGCATACATCGTTAAGCTGACCGGGTAATCACCAGCAGTAAATATTCCAGCTTTCATGTCGAGGATTGTGAATAAAGAATGGTCAAAAATGTGCTCAGGAAATTATTTGCATATGCAGGTACCTCTATATTCTGAGACGCAACGAACATTAATTTCACGAAGAATGCTTCCGACCCGATTTGTGCAGTATGTGGCCGATTTTTTTGAAGAATTGCTTTAGTTAGAGATGTGAAATGACAGTTTCAAAAGCATAATCGCGTCAAGGGTTTGGAAAAAATAAAATATGAAAAGCCGTGTTCGCCATCCTTCGGAGTAGGACCCGGCGATTTCGTGAAATGTTGGCGATCACAACTTGACACATTTCTGGTTTCTTCCGGAATCTGTGCGTTGGTTGTGTTCCAGAAATAGCACATGCATTTCTTTTGGGTGGAATGAAAGTCAACACATTTTGGCACCCCTATATTTCAGCGAAGAGCGCACTCAAAAGTTGAAAAATCTTTGTTTTGAGAAATAATTTTGAAACGATTCCCAGTTATTTGGTATATGCAGATGAAGATGCGCATATATTTCAGATATAAAAAATGAATGCTGTAATTTCAAAAAGTTCGAATATTTTTCTGAAAAGATCAAAGACTTCCATTGCTGGTTAACTGGGAATAAGCCGTGATTTCCTTCAATTCAAGGGACTTGTGAGATTGATGATAACCCAAGGAAAAATTAAACGAACGGTGCGCAAACCGAACAGCAATAACTTGACAAAGTAATCGCAATGAAATGCGCCAGTTCACCCGTCGCGGATTGTGAATATATAAAGGTGATTTACGAGCGGGTGATCAGGAAATTATTTGCAGATTGTTGCTTGATATTCTGAGGGAAAAAAGAACCCTGAAAATGTGGCATTTTCTTTGTGGACTTACGCTGACGCGTGCTTTTCAGGTTACCATGCAATCTGATTACATTCTGCTGGAGCCGTGGAGAAATTTGAATAATATTACCAAAGTTATGACCAAGGTAACAAGCTTTCTATTCACCAGAGGACATACTTTGATTACCAGTCGCTGTTTTCGTTGGTTGGTTCAGTGTAATCTCCTTGACAGAGCATGAATCAATCTCAATGTTTATAATGCACCAAGTATTCCAACATTTTATATTTTCGTTGTTGCGAAACTCCCTTTGTTGGTGTCAGAATGATGCTAGAAATTCCATGCTTTTTTCAATTGAGTTCATCGTCTTATTGGAAACTTACCAAATTTCGGATCATCGCTTCCTGAATTAAATGTAATGTCCATATGTCTAATGATAGCTATAGCGAATTAATCACTCCATACTTGACTAAACGAAGTCAATCTCCGTAATCAAGATCACGAGACTAATTTTACTTCAATTATTACTTCATTGTTGATCATCAATAGGCAGATTTCCATTGAATGTTTACAGTGGCATAAATTATTTTTAGGTATGTTATTTATGCTTCATGAGAGTGAACTTTGAAGTGCAAAAAATCAGCATTTGATATTGCTGATTCGTATGCAGGAAAATTTAGCGAAGATCTGAGATTTTGGTGACACCTACTCTCAAAATATGCAACCTCTCTCACTCTCGAGCCAAATTATTGCAGCAGATATTGCCCAGTTAGGAATATTTTACAAAATATATAACTTAGTTTAGTGAATTTTTAATTTTCCGTTTGGTAATGAACATTGAAATTAGCTTTCATGAAGGACTTGATAAAGAAGTACTATTGCATAACAATATTCATTCGTTTCGTGAACTTCCAGCACTGCACAAACAGAAAACTCGAAATAGGTCTTGCACTTATATTTACGTCGGTACCCGAAAAATAAAATCACCCAGCCACCGTTTTCTTAGAATTTATTTTTTAAACATATGCAGTAATTGTATTCCATGAACATACTGTGTATTGTACGTCGAACCATGACGAATCAAAAGCATGTATAGTTTAGATCCACTTTCTACATCATGAGCAAGAATCCAACTGGTTCTTTGGGCTTCCAGACGAAGATTTGTTCTGCTTTTGAAACTTTATTTGAAGCCAGTGTACAGCAACAATCAAATCTCAAGCAGAGTGAAATATTATTGAATGATGACAGACTTTCAAAATTTATTTTCAGTGCACGTTCAACTGATAATTTTCATTGATACAAAGGAAAGAAGTTCACCTGCGATCAAGTTTCGTCAAATGGAAATTAAATTTAAAAAACATATTCTCCCACTGAGAATATCTTAGTATGGAAAATAGCGTGTATTTTCAAGGATATCCCGGGCAGTAAGTTGAAGGACAATATCCAAATCGTTGGTTCGGGTCCGTCGTGTAACACCACAAAGTTGATTCGTCAGAAGCAGTATTCCTGCAGTAATTATGCGCTGCACCGATCTCATCGGGCATCATGATCAGATAATCAGATCGAGGACTGTGGGGACTGCTTGTGTTCCAGTACTGACATTCCAGTCCATCAATTGTTTCACGACTGCTAACTCCAAAGACATCGGTTTGTCGCAATGTCGTGGCACAAGCAAAAGCTGTAAAATTCAAATAAAATACATGAACCAGTTTTCTTGAAATCGATATGGAATCCCGCATGTGGAGGTTGCCCAAAATTCATTTGAAATGGGAGCTATATTGTTGCACAAACATTTCTTTGTATTGCTGACTCAATTAAAAATTTGTGCGTTTCTCATTATACTTTTCAAGTCCACGCAATAAGGAATCCAGGGATTCAGCGAAAATTTGAATCGTGGAAAATTTTTCTTTTCTATTTATAAAAATTGTGCAATACACATATCCGAAAAAAAACAGACCGCCAATTTTACGAAAAGTTATAATCAATAGGATCGATTCATCTTTTCTATTATTCCAAATGAAATGAATAAACTTACGTCTCATGTCTTCGCATTCCGGAACATTACAGAATTCCCATTTCGCAGTTATGTTGTTGATGATGCAAAACGGGGCTTGTTTTCTTAAAGGATTCCTACAATAGTTGCTGGCATTTTCCACCAATTCATCCACTGGGAACTGTTGAATTTCACGATCAATCAAAAAATATGCTATAATCCTTCTTAAATATGTTTTGCTCACACGATATTTAGACTTCAGTGCTGTGGTGGAGTCGATGGTTTGATTGGCCCATGATAAACATGGTTGCCCTGAAGCGGACACGTTGTATTTTACTCCAAAATAATCAGTTCCGTTTTTCGTTCTTCTGCATTCTCTGAACTCTAATTTCAGAAAGAAGAAATAACTAATCAAGTATAATCATTCGGTATAAGGGATGAAATCGATTCGTTCAAAATCTCACCGACGCAACGAGGTATCGTTGTCATGTTCGGCGACCAAACATTGTATCCTTGACACATCAGCAAAATACTTTGAAATCTCTCCAAATCCGTGGGTTCTGCAGTTTGACTGAATCCGTTCTTGTATAAATCGTCACTGTGAAGGGCACTCCACTTGACACAGGAATACGTTGCTGTTTGACCTTGTTTAAAAGGTGGTACTGCATTGTTGTCAACTGAAACCAATGCATTGGCTCCTACGATTGGCAAGTCTGCGCATTCTGCAAGCGAAAAAATATTTGATTATCACGATTCGAAAATTAATTCAAATTCCTTATTCGATTGTTTCTGACGGACATTATGAAAACTTCGGTTTTGCAGCAGAAATTTTTATTAGCCTTGAAGTGGCGTGAAGAATTTGCTGCCACGTTTAAGATATATTGTTCTATGTTCATCACCGGTATTCAGAGTGTTTTTAATTTGAAAAGCTGAGCTCAGATTTCTAAATAACAAACGTTCTTCAGGATAAAAAAAAATCGTGATTGTTTTCGAAGTGCGAGTAAACTTCGATTATATGCAAAAACCCGAAGCCTTCTGAAATATTTCGGACAAATTGACATTCTAATTTCAAATCGGGCTTCCTGCAAAACACGAGGAAAGATACCTATTCCAGAAATGATAATTCATAAGTTGCGCAAAATCAGGATTCTTTCATATGATTAAATGAATATTCCGGTGTGCAGAAAAAATGAGATGGTACTGATTCCAGGATGCGCATCGATTTGCTCCATGAATGTTTCCAAAGAGACATTTGTGCCACGTAAAAGAATGTTTCAATAAATTTCTCCAGTTTGAGATTAAAAATTAGATTTTAAAAAGGATTCCATTCCATAGAGGAGATACATATGAATGATTTCGGAAAATATGAGCTTTTTTTTTTACCTCCGGGCAGTACATCCGACAACTTCGTGAAATACTCGTAAGGGAGATCAGAAGTCGAAGCAGTTCCGGTTTCGTCCGGAATCAGTGCACTGGTCGAGGTCCAGAAATTGCACATGGATTCCTTTTGATCGAAATAAAAGCCTGCGCAATTCGTTACGTCATTGTTGCAGTGAACAGCGCATTGAAAAGATGAAAACCCTTTTTTGTGGGAACTGATCGTGAAACGACTCCCAGTTAATTGATATTTCGTTGAAGATGCGCTGTTTAAAACAAGCACTAAAATTTCAAAAATTTCCAAGACCTTTCTAAAAGTTCTATGGAGCACCATCGTTGGAAAACTGCGGAAAATACTGGCCCGCACTTGAGTGACTCGTCGTGGGATTACTGTTTATACCTGAACTTGCGCAAAGCAAATAGCAATAAGCAGGCCTCGTAATCATCATCAAAAGAGCTAGCTTTTGTGGAGGAACGTGAAAATATACGAGTCACGACGGTGCTCAGGAAATTATTTGCACACTAAAGATTGATATTTTGAGAATTACAACTAGAAATCCGCACAAAAGTTGTATTCTTCATAGAAATGAATTATCTTTCCATTCGATAATTTAAATTTGTTGAGCCTATTCTCCGTTGATGTTCAGGCTTTTTACGTGTCACTTTGGAATTGAATGGCATACGAACAAGTTCTTCCGAAACTATGACAGGCAAAAAGTTAATTTCATTGAATAACGGAATAAACTTGTATATACTGTACCACGTTGTGACTCATAGTCAGAAGGGATTTCCGTGGGCAAGCATCATATTCTTTTTACCCTCTATTATGTTATACAAAGCAAATGTTCGGGAGAAACAAATTTTCTCATACGTATAAAGAAGAATTCTGCTAGATAGACAAATTGTGCTCCTAGTAAAAGGATAAAAAACTAGCTCTACAAACGTCCCTTCTTCAGAACGCAGTGCGAGGTGTTCTTACTATGAGTTATGACTTTGATATCCTTATGGCGAAGGATAATCAATCGTAATTTTCGCATTGAGCTCATTGGCTTTCGGAAAATTTGAGACATCTTTTGGTTTTTTACGAAGATAATTAGTTTCTAAATAAGAAACATTCGACTTCCGTGAATAATCCCATCATGAACTCAGCATTCCCACGAAATTTTAAATCGCATGAGCGCTGCTTTCAAAACTGTTGAACTTCGCGCGAGAGGAATGGCACACAAACAATCAAGCTTCCAAAGCGCCAAAAAAATGTATATTTTCTATGTTTCAGAAATGTAATCTTCTCGTTGAGAGAGTAAAAACTGCGTAAAATTCATTCAGAACCGAGCTGATAAGAGACACAAAGGAGAAGCTTCTCAAAAAATCCAGCTTTTGGCGGACATCAGAGTCATCTGAGTTCCGGTCCGGAATGCATAAATGTCCGGTTTTTGACGGAGTTTCATGAAGCAGAATTATTTCTTGCCTGTCTTGGAACCATAAAAAACGTTCCGGCGAAAAAGCATCGTCCGCCTCAGCCGTGAATGAATCTTCTGCTTCGTAATAATACTTTCCAGCAAATTCGGAAGATTTCTTGTTGGCTTGCACTCTCTGGAAAATAGTCAAAATTCTTGTGTGTGTGTCTGTGTGCTACAATTGCGCATTATTCAAGCGGAGATGTACATAATCGAAATTAAAACCCTGGACATCCGTCATTTTCTCTCAGTCTTCCTTGTTTCATTTCCAGCGGACTCGAGGAAAAATCACGTTTTCCTTCTGAATCAAGACTCAAGAAAAGCAGCGCAACTAATTTTTTTTTCTTGTCAGGCAGAGGATTGCGTATCTTCAAAGTCTTCTACCTGTATACACGCACATAAGAAAAACAGAAAAAGCAGCAAAAACAAGAAGTCACGAATAAGTTGACGTCCCCGTGCCCCGGAATTTCCCTTTTAAGTTGTTCGAGAACTTCTCGTCTAAATGATTCTTGAAATCGAAAGCGAGCTTCTTCGGAAAGCTTTCTGAATAGTTTTACTGCAAAAGCGATGTTGCTGTGAACTCTAAACATTTTCAAGGCTCGTCGCCATGGGGATCGAGAAGGAAAAAAAGTTTTGCTTTCCTCGAACAGCGCGGTTTTCCACATCCTTCAAGAAAAACGTTCTCTATATCCGTTCTTGTGAAAAGTAGAACTTCTGTTCAAACATCTCTAGGTTACTTTGCTAAATAGAACATCCTTTTAAGATCTAATAAACTTTCCATTGTAATAATTTCCCTCTCTGCCGCAAGCGCTAACACTGGAAGGGGAAGCTGCGGAATTCAGCCAAAATTTTCGGCAAGATTCACAAAGTTTCCGGTCACGCATGTTTCTTGTGTAGAGAGCAAAGGTTGGTGTAGATAATGGGCTCTAGAAAGTGTAGCAGTGATAATGGATTTTTCTTCATTCCTTGTCTTCTGAGGCTAAAGGTCTTTCCGGTCCTTTCCCATGTTCCGCAGATCCTGTGAGCAACAAAAAAGAGAAAACATCAACACATGAGAGAAAATGAGAAACAGTTTTCGTGATGCAGTATATTGGGAAGCCGAGAGCAGCCGGGGAAAATTTAGCTTGAGTGCTGCAACCACGTCCTATAGAAGACTACTCATGAAATGAACAACATGAGACCTTCAAAATAGAAAACTATTACCGAATTTTAGTGATTATATGTTCTAAGCAATTTTGCTGATACACAACCAGACTTGTCTGTCATCTTCTTCGCTGCTATATACTCGATTTTATTCCAAACACAAATCGTACATAAACTTTCTCCAAGTTTTCAGTTTTTTTCAATTAAGCAGGAATCTTCCCATGGAATACTGACGCTGAATATTTTTAAAAATGCCGTTGTTCCGCACATGTTTGCTTCTAGGCAGAATCGAAGGTAGAAATAAAAAAATTAAATGACGAAGTGAAAAGGGAACAGCGTTGAGTAACAAACTTGTACAAAACGACGGGAAACGCCGTGAAAGTTTCATGTTTCAACTACAATTTAAATATATTTTTATGGGATGGAAAAATAAACATAGTATACTAAGGATCGATTTTCTCTCCCTCTCTCTCTCTCCTGATGTCAGATTAAGTTCATTCTATTTTAAAATTTACAGGAAATGCTAGGAACAAGTTGGAATAAATTTAATTTTTTTTCTACTTATTTATGCTGTATTTCAGAAAATGAAGGCTAGAAAGGTCAATTTTCTCCAGAATGATGGATCGCTTTTCCAATAGATTCGAAGAACATCGCATGGACGAGGCTTGAAGGCAGCAACAAAAAGGGGATATAGAAGTTTTTATTATAGAATATGCATGCATTTACTCAATGGCATGAGAAGTATAGTCAAACATGAAATACTGCTGAGTTCTGACCATGAACTTCGGGAGTTTTGAGAACTTTTTTTTTAGATAATGTAGTTTAGAAATTTTTGGGTGGAAATTTTTTTAATTTTCTGTTTTTTACGAGAGCAAATACTGCATTCGATGTGACTGATATTTTTACGATTTTAGCAATGCTTCTTTCTTCAAAACCAAATCTTCTATAAGCAAAACTCAAGGGGTTTTCCGAATTAGCTCCAAAGTTGACTATACTGCACTTCTATTTGCATTTCACGGACATTCAAATCATGTACTGCACAAGCACTCATTATTGAGCTTCAAAATAGCCCTCAGTTGTCGTAATATGGAGCATAAAAATGCAGAAAATAAATTTGAAAATGTATGCAGAAAAATTCCCTCTATATCATCGCAGCATTCTTGGGCATGGATTTATGGATTTTATACATTCTTATCGGAAACGCAGGTTTTTCACTATTTTGGCAGCGTGTTTCCATTTAGATGTCCCAAAACGCCATTTACACTGCCGGCATAAAATACAGAAAAATAATTTTGAAAATTCTCACATTCAGCTCTCACCAGAGCGAGGGAGACTTCTAATTTATTTTGGCATGCATGGTTTTCTTTTCTTATTTTCGCTTGAAGATTGGCCAGCAGTCACTCCCTGGACCATTCTGTGAAGTGCATGAACTCGGCAAGCAAAAATGTCAATATTGTTGTGCGAGAAAATGAATTCCTACACAGAATAGCACATGATGCTGCGGTTCCCAGCATCAAATGCTGGGCATACAAAAGAAACCTCTCATGGGAACATGATGCTGGTAATGGAGATACTCAGCTATAGTCGAACAGCGGATGGCCATTAAAAGCTGAGTTCCAGTCCCAGCTCTGCTTTTTGCCTGGATATCACACAAAAAAAATAAAAATAATAAAATAAATACCCGGAGAGAAAGCTTGCTATGCTCCCCTATCTCTCTGTCACTTTCTGCTGAGATCACTGACTTTCATATATCCGTTGACCTTCCAGTGCACTTACAAACTTTCTAGCTTGATGGTTTCACTTCAAGATTTGAAGTATCCAATGAGGACCTGTCAGATTCCATACGATTTTGTGTGGGAAACTCCTCGTTCAGAATTTTATGATTATACGAACGGATTTAATTTATTTCACGTATGTTGAGGATTACTTATGAAACTGTGTATAAGGAACTTGTCCCCGTTCTTCATGCTTCAGTGAAGTGTTTCAGCGGCTCTTAGCAAAATTTCACGCAATTTTTTCAGCAAATTCTGTTGATATCATCAACGCTTGTAAAAGGCATCAGCATCAACGATTTGTCGAAAAAATTGACCCGATTAAAGTCGAACATGTAATAGTTTTTTTTTTTTGCTGGTTCAAGAGACGATTCTGGAGAGCAAAACAATTAAATTATTGTGAAGGCTTCGAGTCAGGGAAACAAGTTTTTTCAGGAAGAAGAATTGCAGGATATTGTAATTGGTAGTATTCTTGGCCAAATATTTCCCTCTGAAAACGTTGACGGAATGCATAAGTTGAAGGCAAGGGTTTATTTACCCAATTATATTCCTTCACTTCCTTTCAAAAGGGGTCAAGTTGAATTTTCATTACTTATATATTTCCTGTGGCAATAAAACAATAGCCAAAAAGCATCCAAAAAATCGGAGTAACAGTCTCTTAATGCATTGTTTCTAAGGGAATGCGTACAGGGAATTGAAAACATTTGACACGACATAGGAAGGTACTGTATTTGACTTGTGGAGGTTTGAGTTCCCCACGTTGAATAACTGATGCATCTTGGTATTTTTTCTTATGTTAACAATCATAAATGTTGTGCTTTGTGTTTTCAAGCATATACGTTTTAAAAATAAATACTTCATTTCAAATTCCTCGAAAATTTAATTATCCGGAGATAAATATTTTAAATTCATTCATTTCAGGCGGCGTAAGAGAGCATATTACAGCGCAGTACATCGCAAAAATACTTGCGATCAATAAAAAAAAAATTGCGCTACACTTTCATGATGTGTACTGATTTTTTTTTTAATTCAAGGAATGCGGTTTTTGCTCGTGATCAAGTAAGCTTTTTAGAGGAAGAATCGCTATACACAAATTTTGCAAAAATCTCCTTTGACAGCATTTGTTGAAATGTTTGGAATGACTTTATATAGCTCTGGATGAATATGTTTGAACCAGAAGCTGGCTGCAGTGATTCGGGCTTTATTTTCAGGTTGCGATTTAATCATCGATTTAAGTAACACACCTGCGGGCGACGAGTTCATCAGGTGCTGTTCCTGTTGCTGCTGCTGTTGGTCAGGGGCTTCTCGTTTCCCCCAGGCCCCTTTCAGGTTCTTCCAGGTACCTGGAGCAGCAGACCGCTTCCCCCAGGCTCCATTCAAATGACTCCAACCAGCTTGGGCTCTTTTTTCCAGCTCATCTATAGTTGACAAATTTGAAAATAACCCGCAAATTCAGAGGAACATTCGAACTTTCCCGAACGTGGTCGATTTTTATTTTTGAAAAATGTTCGATGTCTGTTTAATTTTAAAGTTTTGGGAATCAACCGTTCCAACCAGCTTGAGCTCTTTTTTTCCATCTCTTCTGATGAATAATGAAAAAAACCACAATTCCCTGGAAAATCTCAATAATGCAAGCATGAGGCATGAACGGTCGAATTTTCTTTGCGAAAAATGTTCGATGTGTGTTGAATTTTAACGGTTTGTGTATCAAGCGTTGCAACCAATTCCAAACATCTTCGGCTTTTTTCCAGCTCTTCTAACGAATAATTATAAAAATAACCCGCGAATTCTACAGAAAACCTAAACGCTTTCGAAACGTTCACCGTCGATTTTATTTTAGAAAAATGGTCGATATCTGTATGATTTTCAAGATTTGTAAATGAACTGCCCCAATCAGCTTGAGCTCTTTTTTTTCCAGCTAGTATGATAAAAATTGAAAATCGAAATATTTCCGATGTCTGTTCAATGTTGAAGCTTTGTAAATCAACCGTATCGGATCTAGCTCAATCTACATTCAGTGATGTGAATGCCCACTTAAAGTATCAGGATGAAAGGGGTTTTCGACGTCCTTGCGATCTTTTGAACGATTGAAATTCCGTGACAATCAACCTGAATTCAAGTCATTTGTTTATACTCGTCGCTCTGTGAAAGAATCTTCGTCGCCCCCAGCAGCAGATGACTTTCTGAAAGCACTTGTCTCATTCAAAAAATCTAATCTAAATGCATTGCTTTTCCGTGGGAGTTCTATATATGCCGTGCCCCCAGTTTTTGATGGGATTCGAAGGCTTGCATTCAAATGCATTGTAAAGAAAAAATAATCATGAACATTGACGAAGCTAGGGGTTTCTTCTATGCCTGACTTGGGTTTATGAATCAGCATGAGTCTACACATTCAATGGTTTTTATTCTAGGTTAAAATAGCGGTAAAATTCTGTTACAACGAGCTGACAGGGAACTGAGAATAAATTAACTGAACACAAAAGTCTTTATTTTGAGGCTCATGGTTTTCAAAATGTTTTAGACTAACATTTTGTGGGAAATGGGTGAAAAAATACTAAAAAGTGGATCTACAAAAGAAAATCGAGGACCTGTCTTGATTTCTAAGCCTCTTTGATGAAAAGAACAGGACAATTTTCGAATGAACTTATCTTATCCAGCTGAAACTGTCTTTCTCATAAGATGATTTATATAAATAAAATGAAGCAAAATCACATGAGAGAAAAATACTTCCTTCCGGATAAATGTATCATTCATATCTGTTCGTTTTTTGAATAAATAGTGGAGTAATATTTTTTTAAAGTTTATAATCCAATGAAAGGCATACATTCTCAAACAAAACTAAAGAGTGTAAAAAAATGGTTGTCATGCTGTGAACTTACTTATTGAACCCTACATTTTATCTACAAGTCTACAACATAACTCCTTTTTTTGTACAGCTCCAGCACTGCACAATTTCGATTTTTCTATTCATCGAAGTATCACCATGGCCCATCTAAATATTCAGGGCCACAAATTCATTACACTGAGAGTACAGCTTCAACTTTTTTCAGAAAACGATTTTTATATCATGGCTCGTACATATGGAGAAACTGCAGATAAGATTTTTTGTAACAGAATTTTATTGTAAAACGTGATAATTTTCCGCATTTAAGATCAGTATACGGAGAAAATGAGTTAAATTCCTTGACAGAGTTGGTCTTTGAATTGAAAACAGAAGCAAAAATAGTTTTTCGGGCATGAATTTTTAGTCGCTGCAAAACATGATACAGTATTACATTAATTGATTTTTTTTCTTCAGCTGGTTATAGTCATACCTCATACGCTCCGTCTCCTATATTTCCTTCTGAAGGAAATCATCATCAAATTATTTTCACAAGCGAATGGCTCCACAATCAAACGCTTTCGTCGTTATTCTCGGAATATAGGATCAACAATTCCCTAATCACTTCCGCGGACTTTCCGAAACTCTCTCGCTCGTTAAAATACTTTATGAGATTAGAAATCCTCCAGCACGGTTTAATCTCTTCGAAGCCACAATCAAAAGCCAAAGTCTGTTGGAATTCCTCAAACTTGAAGCACGGCTCCTGTAACAGCCGCATAATTAGCCGGAAACTTTCCAAAAGCTCGCTTATATGGGATCAACCAACAATCTCTGATCCACTGTGGAGCAAAGGATCTCCTTTGCCATGATAGGGTATCGACAATGGCCAGGATTTGCTTCTATACTCTGAACGCTAGGAACAATATGGGGGTTGATGAATGGAAAAATAAAACCGCCCCCTTTTTTGGAATAATATCCGAGTATAGAGGCTTGTGTCTATATAGAAAGACTAATGCGTGAGTGTGAGCTGGAAAAGCGAAGCGAAAACAATGGCTGAGTGACGATTGACGGGATTTTCCTCGCGGGTTTCGCAGTGATTAGGTAAAGCTTTTGTTTACCCAAGGAATCCCTGACGAATCCAGATGAGGAATGATCAATATATTGCTTCCTGGACTACCAACATCGCAACTGCGTCATAGTGATAAGGACGCTAGGAAATCAACCAGAAATCATGATTGATTTCAATTAACCCGTTTTGGATGGATGATATTGCCTCACTAAAGAAAATTCCTGTGGGAATCAGTGAATGCTTGGGTCTTGTGTCACAAATGCCCCTCCTGACAAGAATTTCAACTGACGAACATGACGCTCACACAATTATGACAATCCGATTTGATCCTAGTTTGAAAACAATCCCTCTGATAGACAATTTTTTAAATTGCGTTCTTGAGCCAATATCGCAATTTTTGAACATGTGTTTCTCAAAAAAATTTCCAGCTGCATAAATTACTTTCTCTTTGGAGTATGGACCAAGAAACACGAGAGAGAATATTTAAACTGGTTACATATTTTCGACGTAATCAAAAGCCAGGGATCAAAAGTAATCAGAAGTCCGAAATAATTTTTTCAAAGTCTCAGAAATTTATAAGAAACTTTTTACATGTCGTCCCAAACTATCATACGTATCTATAGTTTCGTCTATAGTTGTGTTTGGGAACAAATAAACAGATGATGGAAACAAATACATTCAAAAATTTTAGAAATGAAATTTGAGCAGCACTCAGTCTAATGGGATAGAATGAGAACTTTTTGGTGAGAAATTTTATAAATAAAATCATCTTCGATTGTCCCGAAGCAGACAATTTCAACTCAACTCAAACTTTCACAGACCAGAACAAAAAAAAACTTTGGAATTTCAGCAAAAAAATATTTTAAGAAGGCACAATATGAGAGAAAACAAATGATTATAGATCCATAGTTTTCCAAGCAATTGCTTCGATTATTTTCAGTGTCTTGCATTTTTACAGGTTTCTAGTGGCAAGGGATGTTTATTCAAATGAGTTTCCCAGTAAATCTGTCGCTGGTTTCCTTGGGGGGGAGTCCAGTTTTGCAGATCTCAATAAACTCTTAAAGTTGAGTTTCTTCATTTTCTTCGAAGTTATGTGTTGAATTCAATCTTCAATAATTTTTTTCTTGCTGCAAGTCTCCATACACTTCAGATATTTGAAAAGGTACGCTTGATCATTTGATAACATATACTTTTTGAATTTTTCCACGAGCTGACGGATTCATGAAAATGTTTCATGAAATAATTTAGAATTACCCGGGAATTTCAAGGTCTTTAGGGTAAGCTATCGATGTCCGTTTCGGAATTTCTGTGACATTATACGTCAATAGAAGCATATGATGCTCACTTTAAAGATGAAGAAACCCAAAAAAGGGGGTCAGACAAGATATGCATCTTCATCCTATGGGATATGAATAAGATATCCTCGTGGATTGAGGGCGAGAAAGGAGACAGATGCTCCGAAGAAGCAATCCACTTTATTGAAGCCCTGTATTGCTGAAACGCCGAAGTCGGTGGTATACTTTACCTGCGAGAGAAGCGAGGTCGATTTTGGCGTCGCGTTTGCCCCACATGGGTGTCATTTTGTTCCAGGTCCCGCGTTTTTCTTTCTGCGTGTCGAGGCCTTCGTTGTCGTCATCGTCGTCGACGTTGTCTGGGGCTTGTGGAGTCCGCTTGCCCCAACCGGAAGACAACTGGTTCCACTTTTGCGACCGTTTGCCCCACATGGTGTTGACGAAGGTCCTTCCAGAGAATGGGGTATGACGTTAACTTAGTGGCAATTATCACGAAGAATATAAGTCCAAGTTTTTTAATATAGCCGAAAAGGAAGAGCTCCGAATCGAATCGAAAAAAAATAGCGAACACAGTCGAACCTCTCAAAGTATAATTTCAAAAAGGGAGCAGCTAAAAAATTCGACTCATGCAGGTTTCACAAAAAGCATTCCTGTTTCGGGGAAAATGTGAAAAAATTGCAGGAAATTGCAAATGGGGATATTCTGACCCGTAACTTGCTTCTTACATGGCGAGTTTCTAGCATTCTGAACAGAAATTTTTAAACGCTGGAAAAAAAAACTCGAAGAAAATAGTGCTAGTCCAATTCGGGATTTATATTCTCAGCAAAAACATTATTATTCTTACGTGTACGCCATCAAGTTCGATGCGTTTCTCAACGTTTTTTTTTTTTTTCACGCCTCGAAATACAGTATTTTATCTCATCGGATAAAATTGGCCATTTCCTTGTAGGTTAAGCATTTATCGAATAACTAAGAAACTATTGCTGAATTTAGCTGAAACCTGTACAGTGTGCACATTCTGAGCGAGTTTAAAAATTATGAACTAATTTTGTAAAATGTAGTTCGAGAATGGAATAAATTTGTCTGCCGTTTTTCTTCCTTATTCGAATTTTTTTACCGAGGGTTATTTTGAATTTTCTGATCATTCTGCGATTTAAAAAACCTCAGAAAATAAGAACGAGCTTATTCGTGTCATAAATGTTATTAGGACTCTTGAAATTACGGTTGTGAGAAACGTTTCGCGTGATATTTCTAATGTTAGTCATCACGGTACATATATGGAAAGCTTGAAATTTTTACCATAGATCTGTAAAATTGCAGAAGATGGAAGAATTTTCTGGCATCAGACAATTTTCAAAGATGAAGACGAAACTTTCCCCCGAATGTTTTCCGGATACACAGCTCCGTGGTGCTGAAAACTTTTAAAATGGTTGTTTTATGATTTTTGAAACCTTTTTGCGCGACAGTGGTAAAATTTTCAGAAATTAAAATTCATAAATTGCCACGATAACTATTTTTCATGCTTTAAAACATCGCTTCACTTAATTCCTCAAAAATTAAGCGTCTCCAGAATTTACGGGGATAATGAGCATATTCTTTGTGGTCTCTTGGACTCGAGGAATTTCCCTCATTTGCATTGGAATTATGGGGTTTTGAAAAACAGCTTTAAAAGGACTGGAGGTGCTCCCAAGTCCGGGGCTCTTGGGCACCTTAGCTGCCGTTTTCCTTGTCGTCGTCGTCTTCTTCTTGCTGCAAACGGGGTCCGTGGCGCTTTGCTCAAGGTGTCCCTGTGCCACAGCGCAAACGGGGTGCTGCCGGCCTAAAGCAAGGTCGAGGCGAAGTAGCTGCCGAGCTGTCGTCACAGCAGCAGTAGCAGTGAGTGCACCGGGTACAGCAGAAGCAGAAGCATTAGCTTCCTAGCTTCTTCTCCACGTTTTCCCCACGATCCCTAAGAATAAACAAGGCGGTTCTTGTACAGACTTATTTTTTCGGCCTGGTGCTTCTCGCCATTTGTTCAAGCATTTCCCTGATTAACGATGGAATAATTGCGCAATTAAATTTAATATGTGTAAGAGAAGGCTGGAGACTCAAAATGAGCAACACGTACCCAGCACTATCAACTGCCATCAGGTCTCAAGAAATCAGAAAATATTTGTTTGTTTCTAAATGCCGGTGTTTTATATTTGAATATCATGGTCCATCTAAAAGGGTTCTGATAGTCACAATTTCTGAGATATTATTGGTGAATAACAGGATTTTGCGTATAATACCAAAGTTTGATCAAGAATCTAACGAAGTTCCAAAGTTATCAGGGCGAAGCTCGAAACTTTGGACTTCAGAAAACGATTACAAACTGTGATCGAAGTCTATCCGCTGGATACCCACGGTAAGGCAAGTACCCTGACTCAGCAACTTGGGTACCCAACGGATTCCATTTCAAAATACATTACTTTGAAAAATGTTCAACCTTATCCGTCAAAACAAATCTGCTTTACAATATGGGTAAAGTTCTGGATATCACTGAACAAAACGGGGGCCTTGAGTGCATGATTTTAGCTAAACTTTAGTCGGGCCATTTTTGTCTAGCAAAAATGGATACCCTTTCTCCGAATTAGCATCATTTCGGCGGAATGCGTCTGGTCCGTTTTTGAGGGTATGGGGCTTAAAATTAGGAATAATGTTGCTGGAACTGACAAGAAACAAGTAAATCATGCTGATAATCCACGTCTGGTTTTTGCACCAAACGGAACTTGAACAAAATTCCCCCACAGACTGCAACCTATCAACTTCTTCATCGCATGAAGTGCATTTAAAAAGTGACGCCAAACTTTGAAAGAAGAACAATTTTTCTTCCAAATTTCATGATATTTTCGGTTTAAACAAATATAAATGGATGTCTCATGCCTTAAACGAACAGCCTTTTTGAGAAGTAAATTCTTTTGAGAATTTCGAAAGCGACCTTGCTATCGAACTCATTTTCTGGTCTTTAAATTCCTTTTTTTTTGAACTTCAAGACTCCCCAAGTGTACGTATGTTTAGCTGAACTTTAGTTCCATGACATACCTCGGTCTACTTGAACACTGTAGTGTGCGCTCTAATGCCGGTACTTGTATTTTAGCACCAAAGGAACGAGACCTTCTATGTGACGTAAAAGTTGGAAACTGCCGTTCAACTCGAATGTCAAGTACTTATTCTTAGTGAATAGGGTCCATTATTCAAGAGACATTCAGATTTTATAGAAATATTGTTTCTGAAATGCATATCCCCGATATTGTAGTACTGTATTATACCACTTTTGAGGCATTACGGACGCAGAAATATCCAAAGCACTCACCCAAGGACTTTATAATCTTCTTGGAGCATCATCTGTCTGCGTACTTTTAACCTAAGGATGGTGGTATTTCAAAATCGGTTAATGCCCTCGACTTTCAACTTTTTTATATAACCAATAGACTGCGTACTTTTCCTTTGTTTCGGAAGGCATTTCGTTCCGTTATTTTCAAAAGCAGAACATTTGTCCCTAGGTCCTAAAAATGTTGACGGTTTTTGCAACTAAATGTAAGAATTACAAGTTGAATTGTATTACTTCACAGATGATTTACTGGGAATCATTCGTCCTCAGTTGGTTCGAAGAGGTTTCTTCTTCTGGAATTGATTCAGATATGTTTTTGATTATTTCAGCACATGGAATTGAAGGTGAGGATTGGAATTTCGCTAAAATCCTTTCGATGACATTTTAAATGTGGTTTTCTAGCATTTCTAATGATTTTATAGTATAGTACTATAAGTAATAATTAAGTGATATATCTCGTCAGAGTCCTTAGCAAAGCCGAAATGCTGAGGCTCCAAATTGCTACAACTGGTTCAAAATATCCACTTATGTTTTATCGTCACGATCAAGCATGAAGTTACATTCTGCAAACTGCGAACAGTTCTAGTTTTTTTGATTGCCTATACTCGTACGTACGTACTCGTTTCTCATTGGATTTTTGATTTATACCACCTTAGCCTGGTGGATTTCTCATTTGGAATTTGCCAAATAAATCCGCGAACGACGCAGAAAAAGGTCATCATAGCGCGTTTAAGGCACAGAACATAAAAATATTATCGTGCAAGGGATTTCATATTCATTTCGTGATTACGGTCATATAATCGACCTTCGTCTTATCTTCTCAACCTTTTCATCAAGGCAAGAAATGCTTTGGTTCCGCCGAAATAATGCTAATGATTTCGATGGGTGGCTCAAAAGTTCTTCAAATGCAGTTCTGAGAAATTAAATTACGTGATGACCCAACTTTCTGCATCAGTACGCTTCAGATCAATACGAGATCAATAACCAGAATGGAAGCGAACTTCGGTTTATTTTCAGAGGATTTTCATCTATTTCTGCATTTTCTTGAGTATTCATTTCGTGAATATTCGTCTTGAGTATTCAGTTCTTGATTGCTCGCCAAGTGACATTTTAGAAGAATCTTCCCTCACAATCACCATTCCTGGCAGAAAACTTCTAATTTAGATCCCTTTCTCGTTGAAATTTGGTTTTCCGACTTGGGACAGCAATCGACGAAAATATTTGTCAATACTACCTGCGGCGATTTTCGAAAAATACGGTATAACCCAAGATCCTTGAAGGTCACATATAGATGATATAGTGCATATTTTGTGAGTGGTAACATTTTTGAAATAATAAAAATCGAGAGCTTCTTCGGTATGGAAGATTCAGTCCATTCTTGAGGTTTTTTTTTTAACAAAATCATCAGTATTTTCCGGAAATTATCCTCCAAAACCCTTCAGTATTTTTTTCTAAAGACACGGCTGGAAATTTCCACCAGTGAAAAAAAAATTAGCTGTGAACTTCTAATAAGGTCGGACGCCGTGCAAACGGGGTTCACGACACCTCTCGACGGGTTCTTCGACTAGAAAAGTGTCGAACCTTTTCTCGTAGTCACTAGGCCAGGTCCAGTAGCAGAAATACTTTCGCCTGATTATCATGCGAAGCTGCTGCCGTCAACAAGACGTAAGAATTCACCACCAAAACCAAGGAAACCACGGCAGTCGTTGGTCCTGTCATGTCTCGCACTGAACCTGTTTTGTCTGGATATAAACGAAGATCAGATTTCTTCCCTGCTGAAGGTTCAGATTAAGTCGTTGATTTAAATATTCCATTACAGGTGATACAGGTGCCGCCGCGCAATTTGACCCTAATCCATTGCCTGGTAATGGTTGAATTCCAAATCAGTCAAATTGAGAGAAAATGTGAAATTTAATTTTTTTTAAATCAAGTTTGACATTTTGATTCACTCTGTAGGTTTAATTGTGGGGCACGAGGTCAATTTGCAAGCTGATCTCCTAGTAAATTTGAGCGTCAAATTGCAGGATGGTAAAATTGCAGGACATCAAAGTGCAATAAGATACCACCTATGCACCTTGCAATTTTATCACCCTAAAATTTTTCCACCCCGCAATTTGATGGTCGAAGTTGCTGAAAGGTTGACTTCCAATTACACCTCTGCCCTGCAATTTGACCCAAATAGAGTCTTTATACATCATATTAGTGTAGAAAACATTGCATTTGACATTGTCTTGTAATTTGACTGCTCCACAGTTAGACCCAAGTCTAACAACTGATTAGGGTCCAATTGCAGGGCACCACCTGTATAAGTAAATGCAGTTATACAGTACAGTACAAAAAAGGCAGTATAGAGCCAGTAAAATATTGCTTCCTTCTAACTAATAATTTGTCCTAAAGTAACTGATTTAACACTGTGACTATTGAGCAGGGCCCTAAATAAACAACTTTATTGTAATTTTTTATTTATTGTAAGCAGATTGCTGTAATAAGATTATACTTCAGCAATGGCTCAGTACACTGAGATTGATCATGAAATACAAAATCTTTTATGCATTGGGATATCGCTTTCCACAGAAATATAAAACTTCGACCCATCGAACATCCACCTTGGTTTAATCAAAATTCAACCTTCAGAACATGTTCCCGCAATAAGATTTTAAAAAACGGGTCCGCTTCTTCAAAATACAGAATGCTGGAAGCACATTTCAACTATATAGAATGTATGTCCGTTTTACAGAGATCACGAAGGTAATCAGGCAAAATGCATTATCATAGAGAAATTATAAAAAAAAATCACCGGAAATCGATTTTCGCGAAATATTATTGTTTCCATCAATATCAAGCTATAACCGGATGACTATGGAAAAAATTATTTAGCTGGAAAATATTTCCCGAATTGTTTCTCACAGTTTCAGCTTACTTTGTTCAGTTAAAAATCATTTAAAAATCTTTCTCACTGCTATGAGCCGTTTCAATTATTGAATTAGAAATGCAAAAAGCGCATGAATAAGGCATCAACGCGTGAATTAGCCTTTGATTACAAATGTGACATTCAATCCATTTTACCTGCTCTTTTCGCACGTGGATTAAATCGGGAAATTTTGCCTAGATACGCAAAAAGGCAATAAGCATCCTTTGCAAAGTTAAGAGGAAACGTTTCAACCATGATATGATGTGGAAAACGAGTTTAAGAATTTCCCCAAAGGCAATGGCAACCTTGAATACACTTAAAAGTCCATTTAACTGCGATACGGGTGCACTTGGGGAAGTCGACGATTTCCACGTGGACATAAATGTGCGCACCCAAAGCATGGATTACCGGGTGGTTCAAGTCAAAAGCATTTGTTAAAGATTTCCATTTCAAACAAATAATGCACCAACACCGTGAAAGTGAAGTTCAATCTGCTTCAATTTTGGAAGCAGACTAAGACATGAACCCTGGTCATATATGGGGTATTTTCAGCAATTTAGAATTTTAAAAATAGAAGATTAACAAGACGAATCTTGGTAAATATTGGGCCGTTTTTTGATTTAAAAGCGGTGTTGAATAATTGTTAGACCACGCTGGAAAAAAAACTGGGCACTTCCTCTCATCCCGTGAGATGTAGTAATTTATCTTTAAATTAAAAAAAAAAAAACGTTTCCCATCCAGCTTGAAAGTTATGTGCGATAATTTATTCAAAATTTCAACGTAATTTGCGTAACCTGTTTCGAGCGGCACTCAATTGCGTCTGGATTAAAAGGAACGCTGTCGAAAGCGTATGCGAAAATATTGGCTCCAAATCATTATAGCAGGTTTTAGAACGTATTAACCACCCTTATTTGTATTTGTAGAAGCTTGTTTTCAAAGCATCCATCTGTTGGGAAACGTGATCAATCTTCGAAAGACGGCTCATCTTTCAGGCGGGCATCGGTCTTTTATGTCTAGCCGAGAAAAAGCGGCTGTGATCAAATATCCCCGAAAACGCGTGTCTGGAAAACGGCGAAGGCATACACTGCAATTTTCAGCTCCTTTGAGTGACTTTGATTACGACTTTGCGTGTCTGCTAACCACGGGAAACAAGGTGCGCAAATACTTTTGCTTTGATTCATCGTTTAAAAGCTCAGGATGCTCGTATTGAAATTCCGCTCAGCAAATGAGGCAGAAGTTCAACTTTTCGGAAAACTTACCGGTTCTCTGGGATGGAACTTATATTTGTGCTGGCACTGTTTTATTCGGAGATCAATCGGATGATGTTAAGAAAGGCTGAAATGATTCAGTGGAAACTGGCGGGTTTCCGACGAAAACGTCGTACGATTTCCCGCCTGAAAAAAAAAAATGATTTCAAAAACTTTCGATCAATGCAAAGCATCGCATCCGAGTTTTCAGAATTTCTTTCGCGAAACGACTCGATAAAAATCAACACCGGATGTGCGAGAAAATTGGAAAAAAATGCATGTCTTTCGGAGGAAGCGAATTGCTGAACTTTTCGGTTAAATTTTCGTTAATTTCAAAAAATTGCGATCACTATACGTTTCTTTCGCTAAACACTTCGATAACAATCGAGCGCAGATGTACGAGAAAACGGGGAAAACTGCATAGTTGTTTTTAACGGAGTATGCGAATTGCTGAAAATTTTGCGTTAGAAGTTTCTTTGGTTTAAAAAATAATTGTGATTAGTAAGTTTCTTTCGCTAAATACCGATAAAAATCAAACGCATATGTGCAAGAAAATCGAGCAAACTTTATGATTTTTTTCGGGAGAAGAAAATTGCTGAACATTTCTGTGAAAAGCGGTCGTTTCATGGACCAAAGCCACTGGTGAACTTTCGGGATGAAATGTGGGACCCTTGGCGAGAAAAGTTCTTCTGTCTCGTGCTAATAAATTCGCATTAGTTCCCCGGCCTGTTCCTGGCAAGATGACTTGTCCCACAAACTATTTACGACGCAATATTCTCCACCTATAGAGTGGCAATANGTTGACAGGATCCAAAGATTTTACTTCTCGTTCACGAGTCGTTTTCTTGGTATAACACTCCGCAATACAGAATTTGACTAGAACGGTTTGCCAGTCTTATTGTGCGTAAGTTTTATAGTTTATGCGACAAATTTTAACTTCTGGCCGTTATTCTGGTCAATGTTTCAGATTCAAGTCACGTGACCTTTCATCGACGATCAAATAATGATGAGAGTACATCACCAAACACTGCGTTGAAAATATTTCGTAAGAAGACCAAATTCTGAAGATAACGTGATGAAAATGGACAGTTTTTTCAAATAAATTTCTGAAAATTACGACCAAGCAATTAATCTCATTGTCAGATTTTTAGAAACAACTTCAGAAAATTGATAGGTTGCATTTGATCCCTTTCGTGATTCTAAGTCGGGAAATTGGACCTTCAAGAACTTTCAGGTGAATTTCAATTTTTAACGGTATAGAAATCTTTTAGAAATCTTTTTTATGAATTTTGAAAGCCCTCTTATATCATTTAAAGATGGAAGGGGGGCATTTCAAGCTGAACCCCTTTTGCTAGAAACGAAGGGCGGTTTTAGATTTATCCCAGGAAAAAAATCCCTACAACATTCATGTGCATGTTTTTTGAAGTTTTTGTGGGACTGCTTATATTTTAAGATTATTTCTTGGATGGAAACCGCGAGTAAAATATAACAGTTCAGTTTATTTTAGGCCTTCCTTTTCACTATGCTCTAGATTTCTAGTTGGGGATATTTTCATAGCTCACATTATTATCATATGTGATCAGTGGATACTGATGCATAGAAATATTTGCTTGTTTCCAATTACTAGGTTAGTGAATATGCAATATGAGCCTTATACATAATCAAATGTCAGCTTCACGTTCGATTCGATCCGTATTTTCACGCCTATTTTTATTTATGTGCCTAAAACACAGAATAATTTTCTCGACCAAGATCTTCTCTTCTTTCTCTTTCTGACACATATATATATGCTCGCATAGTAACTCACGTGTCATGAGCTAGACTCAGCGTAACAAATCCGGACATCTTGTTCTTCAATGAAATAGGCGCTAATCAGGTGGCATCGAGAAAAGTAAAGAAAGAATGGATGAATGATGCAATCATCGCCCGCTTCGTCGCCAAAATCCGCTGGCTTTTATTTCTATCTCACCGAGCAAGAATACCGCAAAATGCAGTGAAATGAGGCTTATTTTTCCTTTCTCTATAGATTTCCTTCTAGAAGTATACGTCGTGTTAACCTCGAGGCAATTTCCAGAGCCAATGCATGCTTAATATACAAGCGTGAGCATTCAGGGACTTGTTCGCCCGGGGTTGCTTCTCTGGTACGTTGGGGGTATTTTCATAAAATGGTTGCCGAAGTTGGGTGATTCAATTTGAGGCGAACGTGGTTTTCGATCCGACGCGATATTATAAAGCTTTAGCGGAGGTGAACTTCCCATTTTAAAGAACTATTTTGAACGAATTTTTTAGCACGAGCAAAACTTTATATACATCACAACGTTAGACGAACTCGCAAAAGCATCGTTTT